TATATTTTGACCATATATAGTAGAATGGAGAAACTTCAATATCATCTTCTAAAATTATGGCGTATTCATCATTGGTAGCAGGATAATAAGATTCCACCACAGCATTAATCAAACCACCTTGTTTTATACGGTATCGAACGCTCTTTTGACCAAAATTCCATTCAAATGTCTGACAATAATTAACAGTTATAGGATCTGCACTTCGATCAATGTTTATAGTAAGATGTACGTCATCACCGAAATAAATAGACGAACCGAGAGATTGCATAAGACGTATAAGAGAGGAAGGACGATTTTGAGTAATTACTTGTATTTGAATGTTTGGAGTGTTCCAGTCTGCGATATAATAAGTTTAATAAGTTAGATATCAGATATAAAATAAAAGACATAAGATCAAGAATGAAGAGAATACACACTTTTAAGCGCCTCTATGGATAAATCAGTTAACCACATCATATATTTCGCATGTTCAAGAGGTAGTGCAATCTTTGTAATGGTATTATTTGTTTGAGAAGCAGAAACTAATGCGGCATCAACAGCACGCATTGCTTCATTCTTAAAATCATTTATATAAATCAAAACATCCGGCTGAATTTGATTCAATATACCACTTATTCCTTTAAAAATTGATGTTAAGAAATTTTCATTGACAAAAATGCTTTTTTGAAGCTCCAGATCATATACAGTTATATCACAATTTGGCAATAGTGAATTGGACTTTATTAATTCTTTACCACTTATTCCACGACCTGTAACTATTACATGCGTGCTTACATTTTCTGTTTTTCTATGCAGATTGCAATATATAGGCTGCAGATTGTTTGCATGTTGTTCATCGTCAATAACAACTATAATATTGCTAATATTACTGATATGCGTTTTACGTTTATTGATTTCTTGAATCTGAAAAGAAATTGAATTGGTATAGGATCTATTTAAATGAATATATAATGTCGCAATTAATACTGTCATTAACAGACATCCGGCGATAAATCTATTTCTAACAATTCCTCTATATATCCAGGTTAAGCATAGTCGTTTTCGATATGATATAGAATAATTCATGGTTATAACTTTGTCAGGAAATAGGTAAAAAAATATTGTGAAAGGAATGATAATGATTTGTTGTATAGGAAAATAAAGATGATTTACTGTCAAGTGTGTTCAGAAGACATGTGAATTTTATAAATTAAACAAGAAGCTTTTTGTTTTAAACCTTTAACAACAAAGATTTTAATGTTGTTGAATTTGAAACGTTTGGATTCTATTGGTGTAGAGATAGTGCAACATGATCTCGTTTATGGTTCACAATGCATGAATTGATTTTTTATTATTTGAGTAACCAATTGAAAATGGGAATTCAATCATATAAATTTTATATTGTAGAGTTACATTTTCCCTTGTCGTCCCTAATTTTAGTACATAAAAGACAAATATTAAAGAAATCAAAACAAACAATTATTTATTTGTGTATATTTACTGGTTTAAAATAAATTACTTACAATTTATGTTTTATTATTTACGATCGATGAACTTTATTAGCCGCAAACCGTGTAACTTGCACTATACGATTAAAATTTGTCTCTATTTTGGCAACAAGCAAAAATCAACAATTTAAAAAAGTTAATTTTTTTGCACGTTAACAAAAGCAAAATTTGGATTTACCCTAAATGCATTCTCAAGAATGTATATATGCAACAGCGCATCAGTATCAGATACATATGTATAAATTTTACTTTTTCTAAGTGCAGACCATTTTAAATGCATACACTTAAAAAACTCTGATTACATATGTAACAATGGATTTTGTATAACGATGAAATTCTTTAGTCAGCAAATTCATGTTGATTTGTATGAGTATGAAAATTATTTGTTGACAGATTTATTTTGTAATTCATGGAGATTACCGTACGTACATATTGTAGTATTTCATATTTAGAAACGTTTACAGAACTTAGAGAATTTGCATTAAATGACCTTAGATTGCTAAAAAAAAAAGTTATTTTAGATTAGTCATTCATAATATTTATCAATACATAATTTGCACTCAAGATTTAGCGAATAAGTGTGAAAAACACTGAATCTTTATTGTTACCTCCGAAAGTATATCCTGGTTACACGTAATACACAATATTGATCATTAATTTATCAACTAGCAAATCAGATAAAAGTCGAAGCAAAATAAAAATCGGGTTTATTCTAAATCATGCATATGTGTAACATAGAGAGCTATCTTCTGTAACTACCCCAGTAACAACGACAGATTTTTCTCTGATATGCAATCGAGAACATTCTAAACTTAATTGTGATTGGCTATTGCAATAAAATAATACATTTTTTAAAAACTAGTGAAGGTTTTTCAATGGCTACTTGATTAAATTCAGTAAAATTTTTTTGATTTAAATTCTACTTTTTGCAGAATCAAATAAAAAAAGATTTGTTTGAATTTGCTTTAACGATTAATGAGAAATTTTTGGTAAAAGTTTAAAAAAAATTCAAATATTGGAGAAAGCTAAAATCGGGATAAATATTCTTTTTAATAACTTTAAACGAATGTTCCTCAACAACAACCTATTCCAATTCGATGAAATTTTTCTTATTTATATTCTGGAATCTATAAACTTAAAATAAAAAAATTAATTGGATTTGAATAGGTGAGTTTCAAAACAAAATTTGACCGCAGCTTTTTTTAAACAGGTACTTAAACTTTGAGCGAAGATTACTTAACCCTTGCTAATAAATTCGATCAAAATTTCTTTAAGTAAAATATATGAATCGATAGAATTAAAATTTTAGATCAATTTTGTCGGGTGAGCGTTGATCAAAGTTTAATTACTTATTTAAAAAAAGCCGCGGCCGAATTTTGTTTTGAACTTTAAATGAAGATTTCTCAACACTCACCTAATTTTTTTTTTAATTCTATAATTTCATAGAACTAAAATAAAAGAAATTTCATTGAATTTCTATAGGTAGGTGCTGTGAAAACTTAAATAAAAAATTATTGTAACTTTCTTTTTAAAACTTTAAAAGAAAATTTCTCAACAACTAGCTTAAATTCGATTCCGAATTCACTTAGCGCATATTCAATTTTAAACTTAAAAGAGTTTAAGTTCAACCTAAAAGGTGGTCATATATTTTTGCTACATTAATTATTATAACTTATAAATAGTGGGATTGCAGCTACTTCTGCAAGGCATTTTGCTTTTTACATTGTAGATTTATATTACACTAATTGGGTTTGTAAAACTTTTTGCACACTTATAACTTTTGAAGAAATGTTACCCATTTCGAATTAGGTCTGAAAAAATTTTTAGCACATGTAACAGATTCATTGTCATGGAAGGCTAGTTATTGAAATTAAATATCAGCTTAAACTCTATTAAAATGTTTATTAATGAAGATTGGCTTTGCCATAACAGGATTAAAAAATTTTCTTCTTTTACAAATTGTTTAATAATTTAACGAATATTTCAGTCATCATCAGTGTTGAAAATTCAGCATCAGGGTTGTGGGTGGGCCGCACATTACATATTTATCTTGGTACGCATAAGCTTTTTTTAAGCGTGCGCAAAAAAATAGCTTAAATATATATATTTCGCAATTAATTTATAAGATAACAACAGATAGTGCTAATTAGGTTATTATTTATTTATTTATGCAATATTAATATTTTAGCCTTTTTGATATGTCTTATAACAAATTTATCCATTTTTTAAATCAATATAAGTTTGATAACGATAAAAATTAAAGATATAATTAATTCAATATGTTTTATTTGGATTATTAATATTAATTAAACGTAAGTTAGTTGCATAAAAATATAGCGCACATCAAAATATGAATTTAAAAATTTCAATGTGCGCATTCCGCTCAGAATCTTAAAACAACCCACCTAGCATTACCACCCAAATCAGTTACGTAATAGTAGTTTGAAAATTAAATCTGAGTTATTTTATTCTCAA